GTCTAAGAGGACTGGAGAGTGAGAGCCTCCCCAGCTCAGGGGAAGTGTGGGACCTTGCTGTGAATTGCCTGTGAAGGGAGCTAGCAGTCAGGAACTGCAGATGGCCTCTAGGAACCCAGAGTGACCTCCAGCTGGCAGCCATTAAGAAGCCACAAGGAAATGACTCTGCCTGCAACCTCAAGGAGTTGGAAATGGGTTCTTCCATGGCAGGGCCACCAGATGAAAACAAAGGCCTGCTGACACCTTGGCTGAGACCCTGGGAGACACTGAAGTGAGGGCGTGGGCTTCCAAGCCACAAAAACCCTAGATTTGTTTTACATCAAGTCTGTGGTAAAGTTACATAGCAATAGATAACTGGGGGACAGTCAGGAGAAAGCTGACAGCCTGTGATCTTTGTGAGTGAAACTTGTGAGTGAGCAATGTCCACATGACTGGGGAATGGAGAAACTGCTGGGTTACAGGAGTGTGAGGGCCAAAAGCAAGATACAGTGAGCACAGAGTTCATGGAAAAGGCGGAGGCTTTGGGGGACTGGCCTGGGCAGTAGGTGAGCACATCATGGTGAAATGGGAGAGAGGTTGTCCATACCTCTGCAAAAAGCCACCGGAGACATGGTGTATGTGACATAGGTGTTACATGCAGGTCTATATTGGTGTCGAGGGAGCACCACATGGGGCTCAGTTGAGGGGACTTCCCAGGAGAGATGTCAGGTAAGCTCTAGTGGCCAAACCCCATATAAGAAAGGGGCCACCCAAGGGGGCTGCCTGCTGAGAGCAGAAACAGAAGTGCAGGGTTTCATGAATCACCTGGGCCTTGGAGAAGCTTTAAATAATTAGTAACATTTAAATAATCTGTAGCATTTGTAACATCCTCAGAGGTGTGCTGGGTCTTTGGGCATGTCACTTTCTCATTTGGGAGGAAGATGCCTCTCCTATTTTACAGATAACACTGAGGCTCAGGTGGTCAGAGACTTGGTTAAGTGGGCACATCTAGTGATAAGAACAGAGCTCCTGTTCTTGTCCTGGACCTCCTGTAGGTCCTTGGCATCCTGCCTGTGCTGCTGGTCCCCTCCCTCACTGTGACTTCCGCAGCCACAGCTAGCAGGCATAGGTGGCATCCTGCTGGACAGTAGCATATCTGAGGGGCTCAGGCTAGGGGCTGGATTAGAATAGATTCTAGAAAGAGGCCCCAGAGTTAGAAGATGCTGGGAACAGTGACTGAGCTGGGCTCCAACTCAGCCCTGTGGGCCCTGCCTCACTCCCCAGGGACCTCCCTTCCCTTCTATGGAACAAAGAGTCTCTGTGATGGTCTCCCTACCAGATGGTGAGGTCCTCTAAGGCAGAACCATCTCTCCTGTCCACCTCACTGCTACTGCCACAGCTCTTTACATCTCATCATCTTTTTACATCTGCTGGTCATGCTGACCACCAAAAGGAGGTCATTGTGAAACCAAGGTGGGGAGAACCTGATCCCCTCCCAGCACACACCACCCTACCATGAGGGATCATGCCAACTGGACCTGGTCCTTGGCAGGGCTACTTCTTGTCCAGCCAGAAGAGTGGTTACTCCAGATAGGAATGCTATTTCATTTACTCAAATAGACGCCACTACCCCCAAAGGATGCCCGTACCTCATAATGAGATTCATCAATTATGACCACAGATTCATTTACCTAACAACATCGGGCACATCCAGGTTATAAGTATTATCAGAGGTGGACACAGGCTGTCCTCAGTGGCTACCAACAAACAAGGAGCTGGGTGGGAGGATTTCACAGACAGAAACTTGAGTTAGTAAATCGGTCACGAGTACAGGGTGAGAACTAAATAGAAGACAGGGCATCGGAGGCAGGGGCTCAGCAGGATTGACAGTGTGCAGACACAAAAGCTTAGAGACAGATGAGGTGGCAGTCTATCTCCAGGGCTTGGTGTAGGGAGGAGGCAGAGGCTGTTATGAGATGAGATGGGAGCAGACATGGGTGCCAGTCTTTGAGCCCAGACTTGCAGCTTGTTGGAACCAGAAGCAAAGTATCCTGAATCTGAACCCTCCCCGCTGCCTGTGACCAATATACCCCCAAAGCCTCTGATTTCTGGGGCGCAGTGTGGAGCTACTGGGGATGGAAGAGTAGCCGATCTTATGCTGGACTCAAGCTGCCCAGCCAGAGGACAGACCCCAAGACCATCTGTTTTTTTTTTTTAAATCATAATATTTGTGGGGCTTTAAAAACACAGCCCTACTCAGCCCCTTGGCAGTTCTGGTGCAGTAAACCCTGGGTGAGGTCTGACACAAATTTGTCAAAGGGGCTCTGGAGATTCGTCTTTCCCTGAATGACAGCCACACCAGTGTGGGTGTTCTTTAGGAGCAGGGACATCCAGCCCTGGGACAGCAAGAACAAAGCTCAGGAAACATTAGTTGATGCATGACGGGTTATAGATCCATTTGAGAACCAAGGAAGGAGGGTTCAGGAGATTTGGGGCCCAGAAATGGGTCATTCTTCCCCCAAGAAGGTTTAATTCTCCCTTGGTTGGAAAATGTTAGAGCATTTCCATTTTTCAGTGACGTGGTTGCTCTGCATCAGCCCAAACTGTATATAAACAAATGAAATGTATGAATACACTGGCTTTTCTCAAGTTAATACTACATTCCTGTTCTAGCCAAGAAAAAGCACTCCAGCCCAGTGGAGGGGACCAGGGGCGAGAGCCAGGGCTCAGGGGAGCTGGACCAGCCCTTAGCCACAGGGAGCACAGGAGCCCGTGGAGGGTGCCTTCTCCCAGATCACACAACAGTGAGGGGCAGGTCGAGTACCCAGGCCTTGGACTTCTGAACTGGCTTTTTTCCCTTAAGCTGAGCGACTTACACCAGGGCACATAGCCATCAAATGGCAGAGCAGGACAGGAACCAGTATGACTCCAGGGTCCATGCTCTGTATTTGCAGTGTCCTCTGAGTAGAACAGAATGCCCAGGCAGCAAGGAGAGTCAACAGCAAAGGGGCCCAACACAGCCTGGCGGGAGTCCTATCCTCCCTCTTTTCATCTCCTCGCCAGTCTCCCCCACAGCCTGCAAGTTCCTTGAGGTCAGACAAGTGCCTGGTCATCTCTGTATCTGCAGTGCCCACTACAGGGAAAAGTACTCAAGAAGCACAGTGCATGGTTGTTGATTCATTCATTAGTTCATTAGACAAGCATTATTGAGTGTCTACTATGTGACAGGCACTTGGCTAGATGCTGACAACCCGGAATTGAATGTCAACAGAGTGCTGATGCTGCTTTACCATCCATTGGAAAATAAAGAGACAATGAATACGTGCAGAATGACAATACAGTGAGCACCAGGGAGAGAAAGGGCAGAGCAAGGGAGAGCAAGGTGGTGTGCGGGGACGGGCGGGAAGGGCCTTTCTAAGGTAAGGGGGTGACATGTAAGTTTTGAGATCTACACAGAGAGGAGGAGGAAGGGGTGTAAGATACAGGGGAAGCATGTTCCAGGTGGAAGGGACAGCAGGTGTGGAGGTCCTGAGCTGTGGGAGGGTCTGGCCTCCCTAAGGGACCAAGGCCCTCAGAACTGGAGTGAATGTGACATGAAATAGGGGTGGAGTTGACAGGAAGCAGCAGACCATATGGGGCTTCCTAGACCAGGTAAAGGATTTTAGGGTTTATTTTTATTGGTATTGGGGATTGAACTTAGATTGACCACTGAGCCACATCTCCAGCCCTATTTTAAATTTTATTTAGAGACAGGGTCTCACTGAGTTGCTTATCACCTCGCCGTTGCTGAGGCTGGCTTTGAACTTGTGATCCTCCTGCCTCAGCCTCCTGAGCTGCTGGGATTATAGGCATGGACCACTGCGCCCAGCTTAGGGTTTATTTTAAATACATGGAAGCTATTGAAGGCAAATATTGAGTTCATTCTGCCACTGGGTGGAGAACAGATGGGGCAGAGTAGTGGGGGACAAGAACCTAGGTGAGATTACTGTGGAGTCAGGACATGAAAGAGAGAGCCCTGGACCTACGGGGAGGGATGAGTTGAGCTGAAGTTGCTATTGCCTGACTGTGGGGTGAGGAAAGGGGTGACCAAGGGCCTGGGCACGGGGAGCTGCGGTTAGTGACAGCAAAAAACAGAAGGAACTGTTCTGCTGGGTAAAATCTCAAGTTGGTGACACTAAACTTAAAATGCTTGTGAAAGAAACATTGACATGGATGTCAAATAGGTAGCTGGTTAATCAAGTGTGGAGCTCACATTCCTACACCTAAGAGCCCTGGGTCATGGGTGGCATATTGAAGCCATGAGGTTAGAGCAGGAAAGGCCTGAGAGGCTGCAACATGTCAAGGCTGAGCAGAGGAAGAGAAGCTGAGGGGCAGAAGCCAGGGGAGGGCAAGGCCACTGGCAGAGTGTCCCAGGAGGGTAAGAGGGACCAATAATATGAACTGCTGATGGAGAAGTCATGCAGAACAGGAACTGAAATTGTCCTTTGGAATTAGCAACATGGAGGTCACTGATGACCTTGACAAATTCACCAGCTCCATGAATGACTCCAAGGATGCACAAAGAGGAGACAAGAACCAGAGCAGGATGAGGAGTCAGAGGAGGAGTCCTGAAGGAGGTGGCTTTCAGCAGAGTTTAGAAGACTGAGTCAGAGATCTGAATGCTGCCTACAAGAGCCTCCCAGTAGGAGCACGAGGTACCACTGAGGAGCCCCTGACCTGGGAGCTTCATCCCCACCTTACAAGAGAGGGCGGAGGGGGGCTGGGATTGTGGCTCAGTGGTAGAGCACTTGCCTAGCATGTGCAAGGCACTGGGTTCAATCCTCAGCACCACATAAAAATAAATAAAATAAAGGCATGTGTCCCAACAACAACTAAAAAAAAAAAAAAAAAAAAAAAAAAAAAAGAAAGAAAGAAAGAAAATTAAAAAAAAATAAAGAGAGGGCAGAGGAGCTGGCTCACTCCTCAACAGCAGGGGAGCCCAGGGGACAGACTGCCCTGCCCCCGCCCCACCTGCTTCTCACCTGGAGACCACCAGTGGTAGGATCAGCATCTTCAACATCCTCATCAAGAGCTCTCCAGGGAACTGGAAATAACTAATTTCCTGAAAACACAGCAAGAGCTGGAGTTATAGCAGGTGGCACAGACTTCTTGGTCGCTCAATTCTTTGCCATTTGCAAAGTGCTATCACATCTGCACCCTCCTGTCTAGCTCATGGGCTGCAGAGTCAAGGGAGAAAGAACAGGCTTTGGAGCCAAACAGCCCTGGGTTCCAATCCCAGCAACTCCCCTTCATAACCAGCTGTGTGACCTTAAGCAGGTGATCCCACCCAAGTTTCCCCCTGTAACATGAAGATGATAACTGTTAGTTGCGGAGCAGGCTGAATGAATGTTAGCTGCAGGGTGGCCTGGACACTTGACCCCCATCCGTCTAGTTCTTTATCACTGTTTGCCTCAAGGCTGGACACTCAACCTCATTCAAGGCTGAACACTTGACCCCCACCTGTCTGGTCCAATGGAAACCCACATCTGGTCTCTGCCCCGTCTGTCTGAAGACAGAAGATGACACCCTTAGCAACTACTGCATGATCCAATCACTGTATGACAATAAGGCAGCTTGCAGACCCAGAGACCCCATTAGATTTTGGCTGCAGGGCTCCCCCAACTCGCTTTGCTCTCTTCCTCCCTCTCTCTCTTTCTCTGCTCTCTCTCTCTCTCTCTCTCTCTCTCTCTCTCTCTCTCTTCCTTCCCTGTTAATCAGACACAACCACAATAAAGATCTCTTGGTTGCTCCGAGTGTAGTGGTCACTTTCCTTTCAATAACTACCTCAGACGGTTACTGGGAGGCTCAGTGAGAGAATGCACATAAGCACTTAGCACAGCACCTGGATGAATAAATGTTCAGTACTCCCAGTAAACAACATCTCTCCCCATTGACTCCATTCACCAGCCTATCTGATCCATGGTGTAGAATCCATCTTCAACAGCAGACCTAAGTGGCAAGAGGGCAGGGCTGAGCATTGTTCCTGCAACCCATACTGTGATGGGAATCATACTGGGGACCCCAAAATAAATTAGGAATGGTTCCTGCCCAAGTCCCCAGTTTCATTTATGAGAAGAAGGACTTATAAGCAGACCACTGCCCTCTTGAGAGAAAGTTTCTCCACTTGTGCTGGTCCACTCTCTAGCCTTTCCCTCCAAATGCCGAGAAAAGACCTGATTGGATGGTTATACACCAATCAGTATCAAAGATCCCCACTAGGCAGAGTTCTAGCATCTGCCCCTTCATCAGCTGTGGGCTCAGGCCTATCCCCAGATCTTTCCAGGGTCCCAAATCTTTGCCCCATCTGCTCTCCTGATGACAAGTCACAGGAGTAAATCCCTGAAGCAGAAGCAGAGGGACCACCAAGCCCAGATAAATTTGACTTTGAGATAATAATAATCCATTCTTGTTCTAAAACATGATTTATTGTTTCTCTAAAAGTCTAACTTAATGGGGTGTGCTGTTTTCTCAGGTTTAAATTTAATTCAGTTTTGCTATTTCTGGCAACTCTGGCTTGGGGCCCCTTTCTCCAGCCGGTGAGGCTGTGGGTGAGGCAGACAAATGGACTTTCAAACACCATCCAAGTTACATTTTTGTGCTTGCAACCATTTCTAAAATATCAGTGCCAAACATGAGGATCTGTTAATGGTCTGATGCTTTTTAAAGCCTCAAATCATAGGATTTTGATGCTCCAAGGGGCTTTAAAGATCTCGTCCAGCCCACTCATTCTGTAGAGGAAGAAACTGAACCAGGAGGGGGAGGTGACTTGTTCATGGAGTGACAGAGAGGACAGAGAATCAGGCTTCCTAGTTTCATTCTACTATTTCCAATGCACCTGGAAAATTGGCTTTTTAAAGAAGTATACTCATTGCATCTATATATTTTAGATTAATTATAATCCACATATGCATTTTTTTCTATAAACTGAATAGTGCTGTAATTATAAAAGATAGCCTCTTCCTCCCCTCTCTATCTCCACCCTTCAACTTCCCAGGAAGGAACACCTTCAACTTCTCTGTTTCCCCTAGTATGACTATTTCTAGCTAATGTGGTTACAATGCTATTTCTCATGTTACCAGTTTGACATCTATTAACTTCCCTGCCGTGATGATGAGGACTTCGTCCCCGCCTGCTCTGTTCCTCTTCCCATTTCACCATTATTCGTATGTCAATTTTCGGGTGAATCAGTAGTCGAGGTTTACAAAATTTTGACCATCAAATATGTTCACTGCTGAGCCAAGTAATGTGTTCCAGCCTGGCCTTCTCATCTGTTAGACCTTTATTTTCCTCCTGAAGTTAGTAATTCACTGATGTTTCATTTGCTTTGAAATGAAAAATTTCAAAATGATTTTTCATTTAATGAACTACTCATCAATTTCTTCCAAATGTTTGAACTTGTCTATTAAAATGTCTGGTAGTAGGGGCTGGGGCTGGGGCTCAGTGATAGGGCACTTGCCTGGCATGTGTGAGGCACTGGGTTTGATTCTCAGCATCGCATATGAATAAATAAATAAGTTAATTAATTAAGGTCTATTAGCAACTAAAAAATATTTTTTTAAATGTCTAATAATAGCATTTTCTATGCACACAGGTACCTCGGTTTCCTTTTCCCCTCCGACAGCTCTCTGCCTTCCCATCCCAGTTTGGACAGCCTGCTCTCTAAGCCCTAGAGGCTGTCATGGGCCTCTTCTGGCTGTCATTCTGGGACTTTATCCAGCATAGGATCCCTGTTTCCTGGGTCCCTTGTTTAGTTTATTTTCTTGTTTTCGTGGAACATCTCCTTTGGTAGCTGAGAAAGGCTGGGAGGAAGGGAAACTTGTGAATCTTTACGTGCAGCCTGGTCATTGGTAAGGTTCTCAGTTGAAAATAATCTCTGCTCCCAACATTGAAGGCATTTCTCCTTTGTCTTTAACTTCCAGTGTTGCTTAAGATGTTCAAAGCCATTCTTACGTCTCCTGCTCCTTACATGAGAACTGTTCTTATTCCCTTGGAACTGTTTAAAGACATCTGTTTATCTTCACTTTTCAGTAATTTCATGGTGACGTGTGATAGTATGTGATGGAATTTTCTTTTCTTCTCTTTCTTGTGCTATGCCTCCTTGACACTGAGAAACTTGGAGTATTCTCTGCAATTTTTTTTCTTTCCTCCATTTTTACTGTTAACACTCTTTAAAATTGGCATGTTGGGCACTCCACTTTGCTTCTATTTTCTTTTTCTATTTTCATCTTTTTGTTTTACTTTCTGAGTGATTTCTACAACTGTGTCCCAACTATTGACATTTTTATCTTGGTTCTTCTATTTTTTGATTTCCCAAAGCTCTTTCTTATTCTCCAATGTATTGTTCCTTCTTTTTAGCATCCCATTCTGCTTTCTGCCTGTTTGTTTTTGTGGTGTGGGGGACTGAACCATGAGCCCCACTCCCAGCCCCCATATTCTGTTCTGTTTTATGGTAACTGTATCTTCTCTCAGGTCACCAAAGATCTTAAGAAAAGATTTCAAAAGTTGTATTCTACTCCCTGCATTGTCTTTGCTTCTTTTTTGAGAAAAGAAGATTTATTTTTCTCTTTGTTTAGTTTATTTTACATTTGCAGCTGCTTTCCTTAAATTTCTGGTGACTTTGGCTTTCTGCTCACATTAAGAGTAAAGCACTGGCAGGAAAGATGATGGAATGAGATGGACACCATTACCCTAGGTACATGTATGACTGCACATAGGATGTGATACTACATCGTGTACAACCAGAGAAATGTAAAGATGTGCTGCAGTTGTGTACAGTGAATCAAAATGCATTCTGCTGTCATATATACCTAATTAAAATAAATAAATAAATTTAACAATAAAAAAAAGAGTAAAGCACTGAACTTAGATGTATGTAGGGGTTTGTCAACTGATTGGCCCCTGGGGGCAGGGTAATGGGTGCAACCTGGCTTTTTTGCTGGAGATGGGTAGAGTGGAAATTCCTTTCTATCAGGATTTGGAGATCTTTGCTCCAAGCCTTCAGTGAGTTCTCTTCCTCCCATTGTAGAAGGAGACTGTGGACAGAAATCTAGTGCAGGTGTCTGTTAATTTGTTTGAAGCCTGTGCCTTACCACTGTCCCTTTCCCCAGCACATGCAGGTAGGTCTGATGTCCCTAAGTCTAGCTTCTGTTTCTTTTTTTGGACAGGCAGGAGGTAGAGGCAGGAGGATGGAGATCCTCTGGCCACCATAAACTGGAGGGGCCCTTGGGGTCTCATTACTCTAATTACAAAATTCCAGCCAATGTCCCTACTTTCAACTCCATACCTCACCTGAGCCTAGAACACACTGTGCACCTCCAAATCCAGAGCACTTCTGGAGTTCTGCAGGACAAGCTGCTTGGTCTCACTTCTATAGACATTAAGATGTTGGCTTTCTGCGCATTACTAAACGAGATCATTCAACTCCATCCTCTTCCCACATGGCCGAATTTGATGCAGTCTCTCTGCTTCCTTTCTCAGCGATCTCCTTTTATATCCCCTTTGTTTGGGGTGGTTCATAGCCTCTAAAAATTCCATTATTATAATTTCCAGGAAGGAGAGGAAAATGAATGTAATTGTAATTCCCCATTAACTGGTTTAACTGGAAGTCTCAAAACAGTCCATATTTTTTTTTTTACTAGCTATTCATATCCAAAAGTAAAAATCATATAATTTTGTAAGTTTCTTTTCACAAATAGAACATTCTACCATGTTCTAAATTGTTTATGATTTTTGCCTGTTGCATAAGCTTACAAAATTAGATGGGTTTAGTTTCTGAGTCACAAGCAAAGAGATCAAACAGAGAAATCCTGGATTTCAAAGTAAGATGCTAAGAAACCCAATTCCTGCCAAGTAATTGTTCTAAGACTCCACATCCTTCCTTCAGTTTATCTGGCAGGTTAATACAGACGGGAACACATTTGCATGTCCAAACAGATGGGAAAGGCAGCTCTGGCATAGGAGGCCCCAGATGGGTTTGGCTTTTAATAATAGGCATTCCAATTTGTTTTCACAAAATGATCTTCCTTCGGGAAATGTGTATTTGTTGCTGGGGAAAATCAAAAGAGAGCAGATTGCAAATTGTGCCATCGCTGGTTTAACACTGACAAAACCTCTACTCCCCAGGCCTAGCACTGCACGTGGCTCACATTTTGATTCAAGAGAACTGAGTTGCTCGGTTATTGCAGTCTGTTGGGGAAACAGACACAGTCAGCTCTGAGCAAGCAACCAGCAGCTGGCCTGCCGAGGACAAGGCTGCAAGGTGTGATCCCAGGACAGACTGTACTATAGACAGAGACAGTTCTAGAAGACTTTCTAGAAGATACAGAATATGGGTGGTTCCTGATGTAGGCAGGACTTTGACAGGTAGATGAGGGAAGGAAGGTAAAGTAAAATTCAGTAGGCACTTTCTATATGCTGGATGCTGGTGAATCCTCTTTACTCTTTACACTAATTCAATTCTAGAAGACATAGACCTCCTCCCATTCCATTTATAGATAGGGAATCGAGACAGAGAGGAGAGGATTTAATTTTTTTTTTTTTTAGTTGTAGATGGACACAATACCTTCATTTTTTTAGTTTATTTTTATGTGGTGCTGAGGATCGAACCCAGTGCCTCACGTGTGCTAGGAAAGTGCCCTGCCATGGAGCCATAACCCCATCCCGAGGAGGGGAAAGGATTTTTCCCAGCCATTTATTAGCAGAGTTAGAGTTCAAGTTCCTCTGTCTCCAGAGTGCGTGGCTTTCCTTAGTCACTTCTTGAGATTGACCAGGTTGTTCTCATGACAGAGGCCCAGTGCCTGGAGAGAGGGCATTTTCTTCTTTCTTTGCTTTTTTTTGGACTGGGGATTGAACCCAGGGGTGCTTTACTAATGAACTACATCCCCAGCCCTTTTCATTTATTTTGACATAGGGTCTCACTAAGACGCTGAGGCTGAACTTGAACTTGGGATCCTCCTGCCTCAGCCTCCTGGGTCACCACTACATAGGTGTGCTATTGCATCCTGATGGCATTATCTGTTAATGGAAAACAAAATCTGATGCCTGGATCCCCAGTTGTAGAGAAAGTATTAGTATCAGTGAGCTGCAGGAAGAGGAATCTTATCAGGACTCTTCCAGGAGTCCCTTGACCATAACTCTCTTTAGCCAAACTGTAGACAGCTCCCTCTAGGCCCTCTATTCACTGAAGCCTTATCCTTGTGCCTTTTCTTCAATTTGCATAACACAGTTTTAACCAAAATTCTGGCAACTCAGCTTAGTGAAAATCCCTCATCCCTCAAATCCACCCCCACTCTGAGTATCTGGTCACCCTGGCCTGCCTTCAGGCACACTTCCCCACTTTTGATGTCTCCCCTTAGCAATTTCGGGGGGGGGGGGGTAATCCCTTTGCTGGATATTTGGCTATAAATCCCCAGCTGTCTTTGTTGTATTTAGAGTTGAGTTCTATCTGTCCCTCCAGGAAGTCTTGACACCTGTCACAATAGTATTCAGTCTTCCTTACTACTTGAACAAATGTCAGAATAATTCCTTCTCTAACACCATGTGAGTGTCCTCCCTTCTCCCACAGGAGCTGGAGCTTGAGAGGGAAGGAACGAGTCAATGCATCTTCCCCATGGAGGTTATCCAGACTGGAAACCTGAGGCCCCCTTGCTTTTGTCTCCTAACACCATTTCTAATCAGCCACTGCACCCTGAAACCTCCTCTGTTAGGAACAGTTCTCATATTTGCCCCTTTCATCCTATCAGACCTCACCCCTACAACTGCCCCCTGTGGTCTCTGCCTGCCCCACTAATCCCGGTCCTCTTCCCGGCACCCAGGCATCTCTCCAAACTCAGAACTGTCTGCTTCATTTTTCTGTTAATAGTCTTCTCATGCCTGCCCCAAGTCCTGATCTAGCGACAGCCCTCTGACCCTGCGGACCCTGCCTCCCACTGTATGTTGCAGCTTACCTGAAGTCTTCCACAGCCCTGTGCGTGGCTCCTGCTGTGACTGCTGCCTACAAATCCCTTCCTGGACCTCTAGTCATTGGGCTGCCTGTAGGAGCTGAGTGCTGAGCTCTTATGAGACTCCTCTGTCTCCTCCACCAGAGCCCTTAGGCCCCCAGTCATTTCAACAGGGCCTCCTTGCCCCCTAGTCGCCTGGCTGTGCCAGGTTTTTTGTTATTTTCTCTCTCCTTTTTGTTAATTTCTCTTGCCATTTTTCTGTGTCTGCTCTAGTCCTGCCAAGCATTTATCAGACCCATGCTACAGAGGAGAAAACGGGGACCCAGACAGGCAGAGTGACTCACTGGCAATCATATCACGGGGAGCCCCAGATCCCTCAAGCCTGCACACTCCTCCTAACAGGGACCCTGAGGTGCTCTGGGCGGCTCACCTGTGGGGAGAGGCGCTGGGTCCTCAGAAAGAAGCCAAGGAGGCAGCCCACGATGACAGACAGCACAGACAGGATGAGCAGCCCATTCCGCCTGCACACGTCTCTCCCTCGCGCCAGGAAGGCACTCAGCACCATGGTGAGCGGGGCCTTCTGGCACGGGGCACAGCACCATTCCATGCATATGAGACTGGCCAGGGCACGGGGTCCGGGCTGCACACCGGCTCCTTGGCACGCAGGTTGTCGGAGTTGCTAAGCACCAGTTGCTGGCCCCACAGCCATGGCCTGGGTGGCCGCTCGGGAGGGAAGCCACAATCCTATTACCAGCCGCATCATTAGGAACAAGGGAACAGATTAGGGCCTGGGAAATTAGAGCAGGCCACGTGGTCTGGGAGTTCAGCCTCAAAGCCGAGAGCTCCTCTAGAACTGTGGAGGGATGGGAGGAGGAAGAAGAGGAACCTCTGCTTGGCTGGTTTGATCTTTACCCACCACTTCATTCCAGAAGGAACCGAGAGCAAGGCCATAAGATACCAGCAGTCGCCAACATTAATTAGACATTTACTGGGCACTGGGTGTCATTCTGGAAGCACACTACTCATATTGGCATTTTTAATCCTTACACCAATCCCAAGGGAAAAGAACTATTAATATACCATTTAATACATGAAGAGCCAGAGGGGATGAGGAGCCAGTGAGCACTGGGAGCCAGCCTGTTCTGCTGCTTTATTTACACTAATCATGGGAACTCCTCCCAGTTACCCTCAGATCCCCACCTTCATGTCACTGAAAAGGGAGACTGGGACTCCAGGAGCCAGAGTGCCCTGGTCACGGTCACAGAGCTAGTACGTGGTGAAATGAAGTTCAGTTTCTACCCATGAACAGATAGATGGGGTCCCGGGCACTTAGTACTGTGAGAAATGTAGCTTTGAGTTCAAGGGACCCAAATTCAATTCTGAGCCGGGCCACCACCCACTGCACCTTCTTCAGGGCCCTTAAACCTAAGGCTGCCCCCACTGTGGGCTATCCTGTTAATTTTAAAGATGACAGAGCTAGGAGGTCTGTATGCAATATCCAGTTCTGCTACTTACTAGCTGTTAGCTCTGGATGAGGCATTTCCTCCCACCCATAGAGATGAACTTTCCTAGGGCTGGTGCAAAATTCTATACCGAGAGTATCTGGAAAAGCGGTGGTGAACGCCTGCGTGCTGAACAGGGGCCAGGGCTGTTAGGATCGTTATCACACGGCATTCTAAAGAAAGATTTTCTTTGTAAAGTTTTTTGTGGACTGTCATGTCATTAAAACCAGAGGAATTAATCCTTTGGTTAATTTCATCAGGAATCTGCAATCCCATTAGGGGCAGTCAGGTGGCAGCAGTGGAGGAGGGGATGTGACAGGCTTGAGTGTGGGGTGTGAGCAGGGCCTGCCTCCTGCTGACAAGGGGGTGGGGCCAAGGGTCTGCCGCAGAAGGACAGAGGGGTCTGGGGCACAGGCTCCCAGGCCACAGGAAGGAGACACTAGAACTCTGCCGAATGCCATCAGCTTCCGGTCTCGCCCTCTCTGGGCTTAGTCTTGCCCTTTTGAGAATTAGGGAAATGGGCTACAGGCCTCCTAAGGAGCTTCAGTCCAGTAGACCTTCTGAAGCCCCTGCTCTTTGCAGTCACTGGAGGTGGGGGGGTGGAGAGAGGAGTGGGGGACCGGTGGATTCAAGTCCGAGAGACCCCAACCAACTGTAAGACCCCAATCCTCCAAGGCCACCTCCTTTCCCAGCCTTCCACACATTGCCCATGCTATTCCCTCTACCTAGAATGTCCTTCATGAAAGAAAAGTGACCACAACACTTGGAGCAACCAAAAGATCTTTATTGCAGCAGTGCAACAAAGAGAAAAGAAAGAAGGAGAGAGAGAGAGAAAAAAAGAGAAGAGGAGAGATGAAGAGGGAGAGAACAAGAGCAAGAGAGAGACAGAGAGTGCACACAAGAAAGACAAAGAGAGCAAGAGAGTGAGAGCAAGAGAGAGAGAGCAAGAGAGAGGGGGGCCTGGCAGGAGGGAGTTTTTATAGCCCAAATCTAATGGGGCCTCTGGGTCTGCAAGCTGCCTTGTTGGCCCAAGGGGGGGTTAAGTGTTCAGCCTTGAGCAGGGTTGAATGTTCAGACTTGAGGCAAACAGGTGATAAAGGACCAGATTGTGTGTGTGTGGGAGGGGTTGAGTGCATGGGCTATCTTGCAGCCAACATCTGTTCAGCCTGCCCTGCAGACAACACAGTTCAGCCTGCTCTGCACCCAACACTTCACTGTTAGGAAAGTCACAGGTCAGATGTGCCCTTCCTCGAAGCCTTCCCTGACTACCCTGGATCCACACCCCTCTCTTTACTCCACTTCAGGCCTTTCCACAGTCACCAGCCAGGGATTAGCCCCAGATCCTCGTTAAGTGGTTCTGACATCAGAATAATAATAATTAATGAGAATAAAACCAGTCTATATGTGTCACCATGTCATTTGAAAACCCCTCGGTGGAGAATCCCCAAAGCTGGAGGGTGTGTTGGTAGTTGGGTGTTTGGAGGCATCCCAGGGAGCAAGGGGCTGTCCTTCAGAGCAGCCAACACTGATGGGCAGCAGTACACCTGAGCTGCGGACATGTATATGTGTGGGCAGGAGATAAGCAGTGCTGTCCAAAGTGAGACCCTCCCCCCAAAAAATAAAAAAGTGAGGTCCAGTCACAAAGCATTAGGGGCAGCTGCCCAGCGAGAAGCCAGGGCTCCCAGGCCTGCCACCCTGTGCGGAGTCTGTGGGAGAGAGCAGGGTGCCTGGTCTGCTAATGATTAGTGACTGACGATTCCCCCATAGAGGAGGGCACCTCTGTCTGGGGAGGAGGGTGCAGGAAGGCTTCCCAGAGAGGGGTCATTTAGTGGGAGACTCAGGGAGTCTGCGGCGGGTTGGAGGATGCTGCTCAAGGTCTAGTGAGAGGAGAGGGACCCAGGCTGGAGGTAGGAGAGCAGAGCCCTCTGGGACCAGCAAGAGATCAGGGAGCTGGAGTGACCAGTAGGTCCTGGGACCTCACCCCTGCCACTGTGTGTCACAATGTGTTTGGGTCGAGCCATCTGAGCTCCTAGCTGGTTTGTAGAGAGCTCCAGGTTTATTGGCTGCTTTCCAGAGACATCCCAGAGGCGCCTTAATCTCCATGACATGTCTCCCCAGCACAGAGAGGCCTTCTGGGAAGGCTTTCTATGGGCAGTTAATCCAGCAGGGTGTGGATTCTTGTTAGCCTTACTCACCCTGGGGCTGATCTGACCCCTGCAGAGGGCTGGTCCTTTCCCAGATTGGTCTTTGAGGATGGAGTAAGTGACTTTCACACATGCTGCCTTCCTCCTTCCCCTCCCCGCCCCTCCTGTCCAGATGTGTCACTTATGGAAGTCAGGCCCGAGCACCCAAGGAACCACTCTGCTTCTGTGTGCTGAGCACTCACCCTGGGCCAGGCTGAGTATCGAACACTTTCACACATGCACCAGTGCCAGGGAGCCACACGAGTCAGCGCCACAAGTGTTCACTGGATCCATCAAGGGTCAGGGTTACAGGATTCAGGTCACAGGTTCTGGATCCATGAGATTTATCTCAAATTAAGTAAGTTTAGAAAGTTTAAAATTCACTTCCTCAGTTGCACTAGGCAAAATTTCAAGGGCTCAATAGATACTGTAACTAGTAGTGGTCAACATACTATATAGTGCAGTTACACAACATTTCTATGGTCACAGAAAGTTCTACTGAACCTTCTATAGTGGCACTGAGCTAAATTCAAATCACAGCTCCTCTTGGAAATTGTGTGACTTTTCCCAAATTAGTGAACCTCTCTGAACCTTTTCCTGTATCTATAAAAGCCCATATTTTTTACATTGTATCATACTTCCTCCTGCTTGAGTGTGTTAGTTGGAGCAAAGTGTAAGGTTGAACCCCCCAGCGAGTTCAAATTAAGTTTCCAAATTTGTTAGGACTCTTGTTAGCAAGTCACAGGAAATTAAACCACCCTGGAGCAGGTAAAAAGGGAATTTATAAGCAGGGCTGACTACATGCCCAGATGGACATGTGCAGGCACGGCCCAGGGTGTCTTTGTTTACAAAGCAGGAAAAAGTGCATTAAGCTACCACAGCTTCTTAACTTATCATGTTTTTTTAATTTGCTATTTAATGTCATCCTTAAGTAAATAAAAGGAATATGTTAAATTATTAGTATGAATTATTAGCATGAATTTTGCTGTTCATCTTTATATTATGCGATGTCAGTTTTAACCCAATTGTTATGGTTTGTGGAATGCCACCATGAATTATTTGAGCTTATTTGAGCATCTTCACTCAGCCTTGAGCCGGGGAGATTTAGGTTTGGCACTGCAAACTGTTTTGTGGCTCCTCCCACTTAATGGATTGCATCATGCCCACGACCACAGAGGTCTTTGTTTGGCCAGGGAGATGCTCTTGTTGGGGGTTACTTGTTGGAAACTGGACAGCCCACCTCCTACCTTATTTGGCAAAGAACATTCCATGGAAAACCTTTGATGCTTCCCCTGTATAATAAAGCAAGTGCGGGCCCTCTTGCTCTTTCCAGTGTGGAACTTGACCCCTAAAATTGGGTGTCCTGTGGTTTCTTTGCCGTTTTCTCTTTCTTAGCTTTATTTCGCAACCAGCCTGTTACACATAGAGGAAAACCAAATTCCACCGCCCACACGGGACGTGGGTGAGAATGGTTTAGATATGAGGTATCCCCCAAATCTCCTGTGTTCATGCAGGAATGTTCAGACGTAAAATGACTGGATTGTGAGAGCTGGAACCTAACCAGTCCATACTGGTGTGAATGCACTGACTTGGTGGTTACTGTAGGCAGATGGCGTATGGCTAGAGGAGGTAGGTCCCAGGGACATGCCCTGGAAGGGTGCATCTTCCTTGTGGCCCCTTCCCTGCTTCCTCTCCCCCTCCCCCTTTCCCTGATCCCATCATGAAGGGAGCAGCTTTCCTCTGCCGGGCCCTTCTCCCAAGATGTGCTGCCTCATCTTGGGCCCAGAGCAATGGAGTCAGCCATACAAGGACTGAGACCTCTGAAACCATGAGTCCGAAATAAAATTTCCCTCCTCTAAGTTGTTCTTGTGGGGGATTTTGGTCACATTGATGGAAAAGCTAACTAAAACACCAGTTGACCAGAATCCTAGGGCTGTGGTGTATGGCACAGTGTGAGGATGAGATGGCAAGGACCAATGGCGGATGTGTATGTGGCATGTACCCCCTCTGCTCCCAGGCGTGCTCCGTGGTGCCACCACACTTTGCTTGTAAGACACAAACTCAAAG